CTGTCACCATCGCCACATCAAATGCTAACGCAACACCTGTTGCGTTAAGGAAACCTGGGAGATTTAACATTACAATCATGGCAGGTTATCGAAATATAATTGAAAATGGCCACATTACATTGAATTCGATGCAATATATTAGCAAAAGTAAAGGAAAAATAAATTAATTTTTTTTTTTAAATAATGCAATGAAATTATTTAGGGGGGCTAAAGACATTTTTAGGGAGGCTGAAGCCTCCCTAAAATAGGCCGAATGACGCCGATGGCCACGGTGTTGGAGCCTATCCCAGCTGTCTTTGGACACGAGGCGGGGGACACCCTGAACTAGTTGCCAGCCAATCGCGGGGCACACTTAGACAAACAACCATTCGTGCTCACACTCACACCTAAGGGCATTTTAGACTGTTCCATGAACTTGCCCTGCATGCTTTTGGAATGTGGGAGGAAACCGGAGTACCCGGAGAAAACCCATGCAGTTACAGGGAGAACATACAAACCCCATACAGGAAGGCCGGAGCCGGAATCGAACCTTGCACCTCTGCACTGTGAAACCGACGCACTAACCAGTCGATCACCATGCCGCCCCATACAAGTTTAGTTTAAAAAAAGAAATGTTAACATTCTTCTTCTTAGTAAGTCACAATGCTTCATCCCTGGGGGACTATTTTTAGAGCAGACCCAAAGCTACTTATGTTGTCTTTGGGGCTATGTAGTACCTGGTGCCACCAGTTTTGTTGTTAATTTTTCTTCATGAAAATACTACATACCAAGAGAAGGAAATCGGAGTACTGTACCCGGAGAAAATCCACGCAGCCACAGGGGAGAAGATTCAAACTCCACACAGGAAGGCCCACCGTGCCACCCCTGCAATTCAACCACTTTCTTAACCCTTTCAGGGAGAGCGGTTACGACAGTGGACAGCTTATCATCTTATCAGGTTACAGGGTGCATGAAAGGGTTAAAATACATTTTCAATTCACTGCCTCCAAAATGCCTGAAGAAAAAAGCTCAACATACTGTCTTGAACCTTTATTTTGTGCTTCACCATCGTCACGAGAGCAGCAGACTTTCGGAGTGGCAATTGACGAGCAAAAAAATTGTTCTGAAATGTTTATTTTTTTATTTGTGTAAAATTAATCTGTAAAAACAATAAATTAATCAAAATGTCTGTTCTAAACAAATCTCTAAAATATAAATAACAAACTTATTTGACATTTTTTCGATTTAATTTTTTTTCAATTGTTATTTTTGTACGACTACAACATGATTACGAAGTTATAACATTTAAATTTGCAATTTTATCCTCTACCAATAAAGAAGTTGTTAAATCACTGTCAAATAAATTAAAATTTAAATAAATACTAGAACTAGGAAATTAAATCTACTTAATGCACTTCAATCAAAGAACAAAAATAAAAAGAGGGAAGTATACAGCAAAACAAATTAAGTACAACCTGAACAAACAAAGCCCCCAAATTTTTTTTGAGCATTCACTCATATTTGATTTTTTTTAAAAATTTTTTTTATGAAAAATAAACAACATCACTACTGCTTGGATAGCATTTCACCTGCTGTGAGGACAACTCCACCATATGCATGTTTAGTTTGACAGGACGTGTCTCTGTCTTGTATACATTCCCATCACAGGCTGACCCCTGTGATCGTAGATGACCCTCCACCAAAAAAAAAAAAAAAATGGGACTTGTTTCTAATTTGCTGTGTTTATTGTACGTCTTTGCATCAAAGCCCAAACACGTCTCGGCCAGACCACCTTGAAAGCGCCAATCAAACAAGACAAAATAGTCCCGTAGACAGGGCTGCACGAATGTGTGTGTGCGTGTGTGTGTGTGTGTGTGTGTGTGTGAGAGAGAGAGAGAGAGAGAGAGAGAGAGAGAGAGAGAGAGAGAGAGAGAGAGAGAGGGAAAGCGATGGGGGATTCCACAATGGTGAAGTGTTGACATGTGTTGTAGGCCTTTGCAGGGCTGGAATGTGATTCTGTACTGCCGACAAAAGACTCAGCAGCCACGAGGAGAAGAAGAAGAAGAAGAAGAAGAAGAAGAAGAAGAAGAAGAAGAAGCAGAAGAAGAAAAAGACATTAAGTAGTATGACTGGAACGTGTTTCACCACTAGCGCTGGTGAGCACGATCCCGCCCTAGGTGCCTGAATACATGCTAGTTTGTGTCATTACTTGCTATCGTTTGTGTTTATTGATGTGATTTTCAAAATTCGATCCATGACGGGGATCCGCAAAAACTAATTGTCAAGTTTTTGGAGCCATTGGAACTAGAGTGGGCTAACTCCTGTTTTTTCATTTGCAATTGAATGTTTAATGACTGCAAAGCAAAGTGGAAAAGAGGCTTCAAGTTGTTTAATGTCACACCAAGTTGAAGTTTACAGTAAAACTAAACATTAAAAAAAGATTTCCACGGTGCATATTTCGAACAATCACAGAGCTTTATGTTAATACTGTCCCTTTAGCTTAATGCTGATAAACAATTGAAAATGACATCGACAGCTAGCTAACAAAGAGCATTTGTGTTATTGCATTAAAACCACTTTAACTCCAGATAGTTTATACCACTAGTGGAAAGAGTGAAGCAACATGAAACACAAAGACAATATAACAATACTCATAACACTGTATTCTTTATTTGTCAAACTCTTCTTTGTTTGTGTGTGTCTCTATGTCTGCATTTTACTGCCCCCAGGCGGCCAAGGTGAGCACACCAGAAGGAGCAGCAGCACTACGTCCAAATACTGTACAGTATTGCAAAAATTGTTCAACTTTAATTCGTCAATCCAGTTTTTTTGTGTGTGTGTGAAGTACAATATGATAGAATGTTATTTTTTTCTTATTAAAAACACATTCAAAATGTTATTGTTTGTTATAGTTGCACTATTTGAATCACATACCAGTGTTTACTTTAAGAAAAGCTGACTTTTTTCTCCATCTCTAAGTTGATGGTCAACATGTAAACATGGCATCTTCTGTCAGGTCAACAATGGGATAATGAAATTATGATGATGCACAAAACCGGGGAAATTGGGAACAGGAGTTTTGCGCTCTGATCTGACAAGTGAAGATGCTTTAAAAAAAAAACAAAAAAAAAAAAAAAACAGTCACATGAAAACTTAAAACGTCCCGTTCATGTTTCATCTCCAATAAAGTGTCTAAACAAGAACTCTGAGATTGGAACCTCCGCCAGGGGTACAGCTTAATCGCAGGATGATTCACACTTTATATGAACTATGAAACATAAACATAGATTTCGGTTTCGTTCATTTACGGCTGTTGCTAGTCGTGACGTGCGCGCGTGTGCATGGTTGCGCACCCACGTGCGCGCGTGTGCGTATGCTCGCACGCTCGCGATCGGGTCAATGCGAGAGGTTGGTTGCTTCAAAAGTCGATCTTCGGTCAAAAAAGGTTGGGCACCCTGAGTTCAGCAAATGGTAAATGGTAAAGGTTTCATCAAAAAAGAGACACGTTTTTAATCCCACTCACAGTTGAAATTTGACAATTCCACACTACACTTTGTGTTTGCAAAATAAGCAAATTTGCCCACACGCACACGCACACACACATGCACACACACGCACACGCACACAAACGCGCACACACACGCACGCGCGCGCTGGCACTGGACGTGCACTCTGCCGTGCTTGCGCTCAGCACTGCAATGGTTAATATGCCCGAGGAGTTCCCTCCCTCCAATCTCCTTCCTCCTCCTCCTTCCCGGCTCAAACTTTTTTTTTCTGTCCGGCACCTGTTGAGCGACTAGTCTTCCACACAAACCGAGAAAGCCTAGAAGAACCACTTTTACGGACTACAGCACAACTCCAAATCGAGTGGGAGATAATGCTTTTCTACATTCACTTTTATGCAAGAATACCTCTTTAAAACCTGGATTGTTTTATTTTAATTTTTGTATTTTCAACATTTGCCACTTTGTTTCGATCACTTTGTGCTCTTGGTTGTTTTCATAAATATTTTATTTTTATTTATTTATTTTTTTTCTGGCAACTATTTCATCTTCCTCTGGGTGGATTGATGGTGAAGATTATGCGGATTCTCGCGCGCGTCCGTGCGCCGAAGCAGCACCGGTGCCCCTGCTGATCCCCGAGCCCCCCCAGCCCCCCAGTCCCCCGGAACCCTGCGCCGCACCATCACTCCAACTTATCCAAATGATACCTCCATCAATCCTCATCCTTCTCGCGTTGCTTCTGCATTCAAGTGGCTCGGAGGCTCAGGAAAGTCATGTCAGCAAGTTTCACCCTCCGGGCAGCAAGGAGCAAAACGGTCAGTTTACGTCTCTATGCCTCTTTTTCCTTGCACACACAAATGTTCATTCTTTCTGGGCTTATGGCCATTTTTCCCCCCAAAGTACACCTTGTTTGAGTTTGCTTGCAATGAATGGGTGTGTTTCATTCACTTCAAACAAGGCAGGATATGGAAATTACCTTTTAAAGTTTGCCCCCAAAATTCCATGTCAACCCCCCCACACACCCACTCTCTGCTGGAAGCATACAATTACTGATCCAAGGCGTCTATGTAAACCATCTGATTAGGAAGTGTGTCGTTTTGCCCAAAGAGTGCAGGGCATTTGGCTGTCACACAAGTAGAACAGTTGGGGTTCACAGACGGTTAAGGCACCAAATCGATTTTTCTCTACAAATGGCACAGTGTTTGGCAATTGAAAAATTAGAATGGCAGGGTTCAAATTCCCTGTATTGAAATCCAAGATGACTGGTTGATTGGATGGTTGGTTGGTTGGTTGGTTGGTTGGTTGGTTGGTTGGTTGGTTGGTTGGTTCATTGGCTGGTTGGAAGCTGGTTGTCAAGTTGCTGGTTTATTTGTTGGTACGCTTGCTAATGGGATGGCTGGTTGTTTGCTTGGCTGGCTGACAGGTCAGCTGGCTGGTTTATTGGTTGGGTTTGGTCGATTGGTTTGCTGATTTTCTCGCTGTCTGATTGTTTTGTTGGTTGTTTGATTGGGTGATTGGCTAGTTTATTGCTGGTCGGTAGGCTGGTTGGTTGGTAGGTTTGATGAGTACTTTGACTGCCGTTGACGGGCTTTCGGGTTCATATCTTGGTTGGTTGATTAGTTGGTTTGCTGGCTGGTTTGTTCATTTGTTGGGTGACTGATTGATTGGCTGGCTGACTGGATGACGGGCTGGTTGGCTGGGAGTTTGGCATGATCACAACAAGCCTTTTTTGCACCCACTTTGGAATCCACATCACTGTCACTTGTAAGACCCGGATGCAACACATCTGTAGTATTTGGTGCTTTTAGCAGGTTGGACTGAACTCAATCGATATCTTGTTAACTGCTTTGTCAAAACATCTTGTTACTCATCAGAAGGAGAAGTGGCTGCTCTATTATGTTGAGCAGGCCTTTGATGTAGCAACGGTCTTACATTTAAGCAGCTGCTTATACTGCCGCACTTCCTATTGAGGGATGCTGACGCTGAGAGTCTTTTTAAGATCACCCAATGAGTCTCAAGTCTTTCAAAAAGGGATATTGTACGCATGGCACTGGTAAAGCTCCTTCGTCTCAACGATTATATTACAATAACAAATATTGGACGTGGTTTGTTGGTCTGAGCGCGGCTTGGTGTGGCTATAATGTTTCACACTTATTAAAGTGAGACGGCTTGAAAGAACATCCACAGCTGCACTTTAAAAAAAAACACTCTTGTTTGTTTTTGCCTCAAAAACCAGAGCTAACAGCCAAAGGATATCCTACGGCCATAGCCCAAACTGATCTCGTCTCTGATCTGATTGCAGTCTAGTTGCACTTCTGATGTAACAGTTTTCCATCTTACTCACCACATACAAAAGGAATCACTTTCAACATCATATTTTAATTAGATTTAAAACTTGGCGATCCAAACAGCAGTCCAGCTCTCTGGCTCGGTTTAATGATAGCCATGAGTAAAAAAAAAAAAAAGACGGCTGAATCTTAATCTTTGACATTGGACAGAGGCATCCCCTCGTGGACATTAAAGGATAGCTTATAGTCATAGTAGTATAGTGAGTTGAAATTTCCGACATTGGAGAATTTGTTTGGAGAAGGCCAACACGGCAACCCTAATGCTTAACTCTAACCCTACACCCTTACCATAATTACCCTATGCGTAACCAAAGACAAACCTAATTCATGACTCTTAACACGAACCCTAATGCAAACGCTTAACCATAGCTATAATCATAATCCCCATTTCCCGATTTTAACCCTAACCCTTAATTCTAATGTAAACCTCATAACCCTTTCAAAAGATAGCATAATACTTGGAGTGAAACGTTCCAACTTTTTGGATCCAACCCTCTCACCCAAAAACTCGGGTAGGAAGAAATAAATTTGACCCTGGAGCCTCCAGCCCTACCGAGGACCTGGAATCCGTAGCCATGAAAGGTGCTTGATGGCCGAGTAAGTCTTGGAAGCCGACACCCCACACATTCAACTCTCCACAAATGGGAACTTGGAATCCCTGAACTGAAATTCTCGCTTCCAACTTCCAACAAGATTCTGACCTGTTTTGAACATTTTTCACAAATATAGTGTGCCTTCATCTGCCTATTCATTTCTCTGGGCAAACCCTATTTATGACTTTACCAGTAAACCAAACTCTAATTTCTATTGATTGTTCATTCATAGCTTCTTGAATCAACCCATGCAATTTTTTTTTTCCTTGTCTTGCCCTGGTCTGTGATTTAACACAATTGTTGAAGTCTGTAATGTGGACATGATAACGTTATTCCATACATACTGTAGTTAGGTACTCAATTACAAATAGGTTTGTAGCTCATTAGGTACTTTTTAAAGTAGGTTGGCCATTAATTTTGCCCATGGTACCCTTCATCCCTTCCATAATTGTTCTTTGATTTCCTCAATTTTAGAAGTTCTCTTCCACCGCATGGCAAGTGAAACATCCAGCATTACACATCAATACCCACCAAATACTTGTTTTATCTGTAGATTAATCTTAGATTAGGGGAGTCTTCAGATTCCACATGGGAGTTAAGTGTTCCCGGTTAATGTTCCCGTACAAGGCCACGTTTTTCCTTGCCCGAGCCCACCCGTAAACGCCATCCCCCCCGGCCCTGATCTTATTAGTAACAAACCGCCGCTGGAGATGCGGATTACCTCCATAAATACTTCTTCGCATCCACCCCACCCCCCCTTGAGCACCGCCGCAGGAAGGTATGCATCCGCCGAACCCAACCTGCCAGTGATCACAGAGGCCGCTGTTCCGCTCCAGATTACCAGATTAAACTGGGAGAGTGACAGGCAGGGGTGAGTGGGGTCACTCACAAGCCTTATGGAAGGGGCGCCGGGGAAAAAAAAAATCCTTATATGGAAGGGTGGGGTTAAAGATAAAGAGGCATATTGTGTATTCATTAGATTACCATGGGGACAAATACGTGCTGATGGCAGAGTGGTTTGAAAAATGTGAAAAGTCTGTGCGCACTTTGAGACATATGAGCATATCCATTTTACCGGGGGGAAGGGCACATATCGGGGGTCCCCGTGTTTCCAGATGTGAATGTCGTGATTGGATGTTGGAGTGTGTCCAAGTCCTGGGTGGCCGGGAAAAGCGGGATTGACACATCAGAGCCAAAGAGGACCTGTTTTAGGGAATGTCTGGTACCAGTTGAGTCAATGCCATGCTCTAAATACACGCTCCAGGGCTCACAGTTTAGGCTAAGTCTCATCGGCTATACAGTAAATGTGTGCAGGGGTAGTAGTAATTGTGCATTTGAGACATGGCAGGTTGGTAGGTACCGGTAAGTATTTCATGAGGTAGTTTGTGATTTGTTTTGTAGGTGAGTAAGGACTTTGTACTTTATTCAGTAGGCAGTCACTTTATTAGTTAGATAAGCATGTAGGTACTGAAAGTATATTTTGTGGGTAGGTTGAGTATTTATGTACTTTAAAGGGGAGGTATTTGCTTGCTTTATTTGGTTGGTAGGTAAAGATTAGGTAGCTACGATGGTGATATTTTACGTAGGTAGGTTATTTATTAGACAGGCACTTGAAAGGTTACAGTAGGTGTGTAGGTAGGTACTTAGGTAGGTGATTAGGCACTTTATAAGGTCGGTTCTCATGTTTCCTGGTAAGAAGGTACTTTATTAGGTAGGTCTGTACTGTATTCGGTAAGTACTTGGGTAGGTAGATATGTAAGTACTGTCGTTGAGTACTAATGTAGGTTCTTATATTATTTGGCATGTACTGTAAATACTTTATTAGGTCAGTAGGGAAGTATATATATATATTATTATAGTATATATATATATATATATATATATAGTATATATATATATATATATGTGTGCGTGCGTGCGTGCAATCGGTAGTTAGGAAAGTACTTTATTAGGTAGGTAGATCTGTAGATAGTGTAAAACGTTGGTACTTATTTTATTCAGTTGGTGTTGGTTGAGGGAGGTAAGTATGACTTAATCAGGTAGAAAAATATTTTCTTAAGTCATTGCTTGCCTTATTTGGCACTATCTCACACATATTAAAAAAAAAAATGAGCACATGAAAACGATCCCCTACATCCAGAGGGATTCTGATTGAAAACCATCACTTCCGACGCAAACACCTCATCAAGAGAAATAATATCCTCCAATCTAAAGACACCAACATATGGACACAGGTCCGAGTGTGTTCTCTGCTTGGCGTCTCCCGCCTGTGACAGTACAGAAGGACTCCAAGGTGTTTTATTTGGCCGGCGCTTGCCCGGGGGGCCTGCTGTTTGTCATTTTGGCACCACACTTTCCAAGTGCTACACGAACCATTTCACTTTCAAATATAGTTTTAATTCCAAAAAAAGATACCACTGAGCCAGGACGAGTGCTAATCAGAGGTTGAGTTATGGTGTGTTTGTTTACCAAGTAGATGTGTGACTAGAACACAAGGCTGGTTATTGGTGTGTTTTTCTGATGGTGCTTTAGGAATCCTGCCTCCCTGCATTGTCCAATTGCAGAGGTCCTCTACTGTCTTTCAGTGAACTGCCTTTCACTCACTGTCTCCATAACTGCTAAAAGAGGCTTAAAACTCTTTTTTTGAAACCATAACCCTTTTTCTAAGCCATTATTTAAACTCTCTCGAAAACCCTAACTATGTGTTGAAACGCTACTTTGAAATTTATGCATGAAACCCTTTTCTGAAACTTAAACTCTCATTGGATACCCTACTTTGAAACCCAAATCCTTGCTGGAAAACCCAACACAAATCCCCCTTTTGTTGTTTAAAGTCCTAACGTCATCTTGCTTTGAAACCTTCACCCTGCAACC